GGGTTTTTGTTATTCACACATTTAACCTAGGTGGCGCTGTTAGTACGTTACAATCAGTGCCTAACTTTCATATTTTGCTTTCAAAACCAAAAATGCAGCATAATTAATAATATATATTATCAATGTATAAAAAAGTTTACTTTCCTAACTATTCTATCAATTCTATTAATAATCGAAAAATGGTCACATACAAAGGAATTAGATACGTAAGTTAAACTCAATAGCGATAATATTTCATTACATTGACGCACTATCGAATGCATACCTAAAAGGATCAATGGAAAAATAATAGTCGTTTCCAAGCTGATTGTGATAATAAAAACCTGAATCATCTGATTTTATGATATGATAACTTGATATATGAATTAAGATATATACAGCGCCATCTAGAGTATTTTGTTTGACGTAACGACTGAGAAGGCTTGCTTCCTTTGTGTACTGCGGTGTTACCCTTCGATATTAGCATCAGTTTTGAGCTTTTCTGTGAACTCAAATCAAAACTGATGGTACAGTGATAATGTAACCCAATATTTATAAACTTAAATTAAAATTTGTAACATAATTTTTAATTTAAATCAAGTTGTATAAAGGTAAGAAGTATAACAATCTTTGTATAGTTTATGAAATAGGAGGCGCCACTGTAGGAAGAGAGTACAACGCGCTTTTGTGTAATTCAATAGGGTGGATGACTAATTTTTATTTTGATGTCCGTCTGGTAGATTATTTAAAAACATTAGACACGTATTTTTTATTTTTTTAAGGAAACGAATACTTTCGACGATATATTGATTTGAAATGTCGCGTGACGTCACTTCTATGTACAATTTATAGGTAGAAATGACGTTTTAGCCCCCACTCCTAAACTTTGATTCGTTATATCTATGTTCCATTTTATTATGCAACAAAATAAAAAAATACGTGTCAAATATTTTTTCGTTCATTCATTAATTACATTTTTAATTTTCATACCCTGTCATCATCCCTATTTACATGCATTTAGACACATAGGTACTAGACACGTATTTTGCCAATTAATTTATGGAGTAGTTAACAATGATCTTGTCGAAATAATATTAAGTATAATAGGCTGTTCAGTGTTTCCCCTGAAGTTTCGTAGAGGGTACCAGATCACCTATGCGGTGGACTCATCAAGTCAAATCACCAATGAACCCAGTGTCAGACTGCGCCAGACAATCCACAAACAGGGAGAAAAGGCGGGAGATCGTGAGGAAAGCAGTATCGGCCTCCAACACAAAAAACATGGCCGCCTCAACGTGACCACGACCGCTCTGCTAAGAGCGAAACGACAGAGAGATATTAAGTTAACTAAGTTACAAAAGTAGGTAGGTAATGAACAGAGCGTTATACTCTTGATACAGTACCGCCCTCTATTAACACAGTTTGATGGTCACTTTTTCAGTTTTAATTTCTCCATTAGAGGTTACTTCCTAATAACCTATACACAGCTTAATTTTAACAAACAAAAAATCGGCAAAATGTCAAACTGACATTACGCCATATTGTTTTCAACGAAAATCTACATAATTTTAATACAACGGTCCATATAAAAGTGCATTAGAATAATTTCGTGGAAATATATTACTATCTATCTACAATATATATAAGTTATATTTCTAAGTAATTTCCCAAGTCGACTAAGTACTAAGTTGGCCCCGTTTGTGATATTACTACGTGACTTAGCTTGACTAAGTATTAAGTCTAACTAAATCTAAGTTTGTACGTGAATGTGTGTGTTTGCACGCTATATTAGTTGGTGTTAGCAGGCTTACTTCTGACTATACTTATTCTTCTTCTATATTGGTGACTTCTTCTGACTATATTGGTGAACAATTTTAAGATTTAAGAAAAAATATGAACATGTGTTATCTGTGTGTTTTAATGGCTGACCCAATGGTCAATACCTGATGTCTGATTTTAGTGACAGACCATCTACCTCAGGGTAGGTGTGATGTGTATTGATTTGTGCTTAGAAGAGCGATGATCATGGATTTTTCAGAAAATTTTATCATTTGAACTAGAGTTCAGTGTAGATGTTGCTTTAAAAGTGTCTTGTCTTTATGACGACAAATATCATGTAATGATGTCCGAAGTAAGCCTGCTAACAATAAGAAAAATGTCTTAGAAATCTTCTTGAAGATTATGTATAAACTAACAATAAAAATAAACTTAATACGACATTGTGATTCGTCGATAACTAAGATGTAATAATTATTCATTAGGTATACAGTATAATTACATAAGGTAAATTCATTCCGAGTAAAATTGGACCAAAATCGTCTAACACTGGACCTTGCAGTGTGTAAATGGAACGGTCCTGAAAATAGCCAACAGGTGATAGTAAAAACAAGTTCTATTTTCATAAAAATAAGGAATAAAATGTTTCTTTTATATAATAATAGTTGTAATCAACCGCTCAAGACTGATGTTGCGTGATAACAAGAAATAAATAAAAAAAATATAGAAACTATTTTTTGTCAGTGTTCTCAGGACCGTTTCGTTTGTACCCTGTAGGGAGGTACATACAAACAAGCCTTTATACCATCGAATACAGCAGAAACTATGTGTGAGCACTCACACATACACAGTTTATATTTAACTATGGCGTTCAGAAAAAATAATGTTAAGGCGTACCCCAGGGTAACATTCTGGGTCCAACCTTACTTAAAACGACCGCATACTTAAAATATCTTCATTTTAAAAAGAATTAATGTATTTAAAAATTATCCTAGTTAGAATTAGAAACTACAGTATGATTTTAAATAGCTCTAAAAATAGCTAGACGTCTTAAACTAAGGCACTTCTTACAATATTCGTGTGTGCGTCGTTCGTACAAAATATTTGATATAAAATATACTATTATTATGTGTCTTTATCTTAAATATATACGTCTAATGTCTATATTATGTAATTGTGCCGACTACAACTGTATTTGACCGGTCGACTAATTGAAATCCATAGTTTTATTTTGAGTGCGAAAGGTTTTTTGCCTATATTCTTTAATTATGAAATTGCGTGGCTTATTATGGTGAAAAACGGGTAAGAGATAGATGAGAAAATCAAAGACATTGGGAGGCTTATTTTCAGTAATTTTCAACATGTTTTTTAATAAAAATTTTATAATATAACGTTGAATTGAAAGCGTGATTAAAAAGAAGTTAATCATGTAAATGTTTGTATTAGGACAATATAATAATGGTTCTCTTTTACAATGTCTAATTAAGTTTCTGTTAGTTTAACCGACGGATGATTCGACGTATTCTTTACTATATAAAAATAAGTCGGGTTTTTTTTCCTGACGCTATAACTCAAGAATGCACTAACCGATTTACACGGTTTTGCATTCGTTGGAACGGTCTCGGGCTCTGTGAGGTTTATAAAAGCCGATAAGCCCGGTATTAAAGATTATAAAGCATACATAGAGACAGACAGACGGGGCATAGCGACTTTGTTTTATACCATGTAGTGATATAACAAAAAAAATTTCTTCATCTTTTAATCACCAAACGAAATGTTACATAAAACGAAGCCATCAGAGGGCCAAGCACGAAAAACTATCGCATTCGTATCGTAACAGTATCGAGCGAGTTAAGCGTTCTGATTGGTTGGTTCACTTGAGCCGGCCAATCAGAGCGCCGAACGCGCTCGATACTATTACGTTACGAATGTGATAGTTATTCGTGCTTGGCACTCTGGTGGCGAAACGGAGTTCGCCGGGTTTGCTAGTTTACTTATAAAAGTGTCAATATACGCAGCAATTAGAGTTATCAGAAATTGTAAATATACTTGCTGCGCGGTGAATTTTTGCTTGTAATTTCAACGCTATCAAATCAGTCGACAGTCAAATACAGCCAAGTCAAATACCTACGTTAATTCGATTACTTACTCGTATTTATTTATAACTTATATACCTCTAATTCTACTAATTTATAACTTTATTAAGTTACTTTATATATAATTTATCCCAGTTTTTTTGTATGATATTTTAATTTTATAATCTAAATTTAAACTCTAACTTATTCGGCACTTTCACGGCTTTCGCTGTTCGTATCGATATTTTTAATACCAATAGTTTTGCACTTATATATTGTTAGCTATTTTTCTTCAATATCACTGCCCATATTTATTTATATAACTTTATAATTATGATGTTACTTAAATACACTAATTTTTCGCACTAAATTAAGCTTAAGTATAAAAATTTGTATTTCTTTGTCAGTATTTTATGCGTTATCGTATATATCCGATGAACTTATGTTTGGTAATTTATTAAAATTATAAGTTTATATAATAATTTAGATTGTAAATTAAAAATATTAATTTTTAATAGCTTAAAGGTGCTTCCTCGCGGGTGCATTCGCGTGTAATGTAACGTTACAGATCAGCAGCTGTAGCCAAATGCCATTTAGCGCTTGTCAACATGTAGAATAGAAAACTAAATTTTGACACTTGTCAGTGTCATCCCCATACATTTTGATTTCTACTCTCTCTGTAGACAAGCGCTAAAGTGGTGTTTGGCTAAAAGCACAGAGCAATACATCAGTGAAAGAGGAGAACCGAGCATTACAATGCGCACCTTGTAATCATACAATGTGTAATATCTTGATACAACTTGTAACATCAATGCCTCCCGCCCGCCCGCTTCGTCTGACATCTTGCTATGAAATGCTCAAAGTCGAATCAATATGTTACAATACACGCAAATGCTCGTTAGTCGGGGAGGTATTATTGTAATGTAATGCTGAAAGTCGAATCTATAATGTTACATTACACGTGAATGCACCAGGTGAGGGAGCACTTTTACAACTTCAAAATTAAATTATTCCTAAACTGACTTTTATCGATCAAGTTAAAAACGTATTTTCCGATTCATTATTTCACTAATACGTCTTTTTTCAAAATCCTGAAACCACCATACGCTTGGTAGAGGCTTCAATAATACTTCTTTTCTTTCTGGCACGGTCTTTTCAACCACCATGTCTCTACATGTGGGTATTTAGTGTGATCTCTCCAGTCCCGTGTTCATAGAGGGCGCGCACGTCGTCGTGTGTCATCTGGGAGACTGTGGGGATCTTGGACACGTTGTTCAGGAGGGGTTTTACCTGAAAGAAGTAGAAGGGGGGTTTAGATTTAGGATCTTCTAGAATATACCTGAATCTAGGACTTCATGGCGTACGGTTATATATGTAGATAGAAAACTTGAATAACGAATATTGTACATGTAAGATTTTATACGAAAAAAATGGCGGCAGTTCTGCAGCTGTAGCCAAATGCCATTTAGCGCTTGTCTACATGTAGAATAGAAAATCAAATTATATGGAATTGACGTAAATTTTGACACTTGTCAGTGTCATCCCCATACATTTTGATTTCTACTCTCTCTGTAGATAAGAGCTAAAGTGGCGTTTGGCTAAAGGCCCTGACTCACATGGGAGTAAGTTACCTTATAACTGATTTAGCCAGTCAGTCTTAAGATTTTTATTGAGTTCTCTCTTCCTCTTTTTTCTCTCTTTTACATTCTTCTCTTTCTTCTCTCTTTAAAAAATGTTGCCCCGCACTAGAATTTTCTCCTGTGTCGTGGGTGCGTTTACAAATATACAAGTTCATATACACATTACACCCAGACCCGAAACAACACTCTGTGGATCATATAAAGAGTTGCTCCGTGCAGGAATAGAACTGCAGTGATTCTATTCAAAAGGAAAGTTTAATTTAAACATCTTACCTTATTCCCGGGCATGGCAATGAACCCGTTCCCGACCCCCCCATTGTGCGCGTTCCCGTTGGGGACGGACCCGTTGGCGTGTCCGTTGGCGAGTCCCCCCCCCATGCGAGACACTGCCGTCGCAAACTGCTGCATGCTTGGTGGATCTAGAAGGAAGCGTTAAATTAACCAATTTTAAAATCGCTATATAGTACAAAGTTGTTATTTTTGTGTGTCCTTATGTATGCTTAGATCTTTAAAACTACGCAATGGACTTTGATGCAGTTTTCTCTATACATAGATTGCCTTAAGGGGATAGCTTACATGGCTGATACATACTGAAAAAGTTCATGCCATTTTAACACGTTGGGGTAACTTTGGTCCAAACTTTATATATAACCAATAGGAATTGAGACCTGTTACATTTTATTAAAATAAGCATTCAGACTTAACTTACCTTTGCGACTTGGTTGTTCTTGAGGCTGTGGCATGGCGGCCAGTGCTTCAGCCTTCTCCATCTCTTCCAGCAGTACGCGAGTGAACTCCGACTGTACGTCTGGAGAGTCCGTGTCGCCGTCCACCTGGGGTACAGAGGGAATGTTGAAAATGAGAACATAGACAACTAACATAACATCAGGTTTTTACTTCCTGAAGGGTGCGGGTTCGAAACCTACCAACGGCAAGTACCAATGTGACTTTTTCCGAGTTATATGTCCTTTCTAAGATTATTTAGACACCACTGACAAACGGTGAAGGAAAACATCGTGAGGAAACCTAGGTTTGTAATTTCTAATTATAAGTTTGAAATCGCAAATCCGCATTGAGCAAGCGTGTTGATTAATGCTCTAACCTTCTTCATGCGAGAAGAGGCTTTGCTCAGCAGTGGGCATTTATAAGCTGTTGATGATGAAGGGTTGGGAGGCCAAGCTCAAGTTTTTTAATGTAACATGCATATTATACTGGTGTATATGATGCTAGTACCAGAAATTTTAGAATCTTTAAAATCATTACATTACTTTCCTTGATCTGAGAATGAAACTCAAAATCCGTTGCTCAGCAGTCATAATAAATTTGTAAACTCGAAATTTGAAATTATAATTGACATAATTGGATTTATATGCTTATAGGTACAAGCAGGGCCCTTTGCAGAGAGATTTTTATATAGTCAGACATGAGGAAGAGTGGAGAGTCACTTATAAAAACTAAATAAATAATACTTACAATGACCAGTCGATGGTCCTGGTCTAACGTCTTCAGCATGGGCAGGCTGAGTTCGCGGAAGACCTCCAGTCTCCGTCGGAAGGCGGCCACGGAGTCATCTCGTCGTCCACGGCCCAGCTGCAGCTTGGAGCAGTCCAGGAGGACCATGCGAGGGGATATGCGGAACTGTAAGGAACAAAATACAGATATTATAGCAATTGATTGAATGAAAGTTAATATATACATGAGTTGAAGACAGCTAAAATCTTGTTTTCAATATTTTGGTCAAAAACGTTGATTTACGTATCTAAACCAAATTGTTTAAAAACATCTTACACAGTAAAATACCAAGATATCAGCGTTATAAGTATCTCTGTTATTGACAATTATTAAAACTGCTCTTAAAATCACCCCCACCTAAACAAACATCTAATTACAACGTCACACCTTCCTCAAAATCATTAAATTCCATTGCCATCAGCTTCTTACCTCGGTCTGAAATTGCTCCATCTGATCCAAATCCCTGGGATATCCATCTAACACCAGTCCATGTCCCATCCTCCCAGCATCCTGCATGGCTGCCCTCACCAGCTTGGTGACCAGTTCCTTAGGAGCCAGTTCCCCTCCACTGATGGCTGAGCGAGCCAGAGCACCATCTGATGCTGGACGTCCTCCTGCGTCTGCTAGACTGCGGAGACGCTGGCCTAAGCTGGAGATAAAAGAAGATAATATGTAGATCTGAAGGCCATGTTTGGTAGGAAATATATGCATGATATTTTTACCTGTAATGTGTCCATCCTTGTCGCTGCGTCACAGCTCGTTGACAGAGCGTGGCCTTATTGCTGCCCGGCCCACCCACCACCCAGAGTAACGCAGGAGTCGTCGACTCTCCACGGACTCGGATCACTTCAGGCTGAGATCCAAAAAACATATTTTTCTTATAGAGGTAGTAGTTATATCGGAAATCAAGTAGGTATAGGTACGGTAATATATCGTTCTGAAGTCGTTAAAGATAAAGGTGTAGAATTGTATGTAATCTATGATGTTATAGAAAGGTAAATGTATCCTATACAAGTGCCGCGGAGGACGCGGTTGCCGGGGATCTGGCTAGAAGCGCAGGAATAGGAACGGGGTGGTTTAGTCAGTAAGAGTCTGACACTCCCTCCCGCCTCACCCAAGCGGGAGAAGTCATTCGATGATTTTCCCCCCTTAAAAAAATCCTATACCAGTGGGGTCGCGGAGTCAAAACCATTGCTAATTAGAAGTTTGTTGATACGTTATTATTCCAAAAAATGAAACTGCACAGGGGTATTATTAGCCTTATCCATAAGTAATAGAATCCAATCATACGCCCATAAAAATAAAATACGTATCTATATTCGACCGAAATTCTTATACGGGCACAAGTTAATCACTAACTAGAAGCACACACAAAGAAAAAAGCTGTAATAGAAATTACTTTACCGTGGGAACAAACGAGTGTGTGCTTTTAAAAAACCAACCTTATCATAAAAGAAATTTTCTTTGTGATCCAGCACATCAACCTCTCCAAAACTGACTAATCCTATCAAAGGAGTTTCGACTCTACTTCAAAAATAACAAAGTTGTAAATAGTTTACAGGCATTTGTCTGAAGGGTAGGTCGTTGTGCGTTTGTCTGTAATATGGTATACTTGAAGAAAAATCTACGAAACTCCTCATTAGGTCAAGGCGGTGACCTCTTTTATTCAATGAACAGCTGGATGTATCCACACAATATAATATTTTTTGACGATTCATTGCCCTTTTAGTGTCTATGCGAATTTACTTAAACGAGTATTTGTAGACTTATTTTAAGGTTGTCATGTAATAGTCTGAAAAGTGTAGGTATATCTACATTTAACTTTCATTGATTAACATAAAAAGTACAATTTTAAAGGTTGTTAATTATTCTTAAAAATTTAATTACTTTTTCTATACCTCTAAATTCCTTTCGATTAACCGATAACATTTTGAATAAGCAAAAATTTGGATCAAGTGAGGTATTTTCTACTTGTATGGATATCGTTTACAGTAGTAAAAATCTCAGTATTATTATTACTACAATGTAAAGGAAACCTCTTCTATCACCTACCACCACCATAGTATAATAATTCTTATGTACAAAAAGTGGAACATAAATAAATAAATGTTAAGTTTAATTATCCTAATCAGCATCACTCCATGTAAACTCAGGATTCAGCAACCGTTCTCCTACGACCGATACGCCACTAGACTGTTCGTCGACAGGACGTTTCATGTGCGATACTACGAACTTAACACACACACAAACAAAACCTTTAACTCAAAAATGGAACTCACCTTCGGCGTAACAACCCTATCATTGGCCACTTCTTTAACAGGCACAGTTACAGGCAACGCTTTAGGCATAGGCAACGGCATAGCCACAGGTAAAGGCACAACAGGAGCCACATTCTCTTCTCTTCTCTCCCGTTCTATATCTACTACTGGAGCCGGTTCCACTCCTACTATCTCCCCTGGTATGCCACCAGCGCCAACCCCAACGCCACTGACTCCATTCATCGTGGACTGGTCTTCCGTAGCTCCTAGGATCTGGAGTACGGCAGCTCTGAAGTCTTTGTATACTTCATCAGGATTACGTTCGCCGTTCACCTGGTGGAAGATAAGGTATAATTAAAAGTCATTTAACATCATTGACAGCTATTCAACATCATTAGTAGGTTGTGACAGTCCACTCAAATACTCAGTCATGGATTATGCGCCTCCTCTAAAGGATTTGCCACTAATATTTATTCTTGACAGGCATTTTAGAGAATACAATTGCAAAGGTACAGATTAATTACTTAGTAAGGAATATAACTGTCCCCGTCCCTGTCAAAAGAGTAGACCCTTAGTTCATTCTTACCACCTCGTGGGAAGAGTAAGACACTTGTATTTTTTTTTTCTGCTAACACCATACGACGACGATATAAGATAGTTTCCGTTACTTTGTTTTATCCAAACACCAAAGCCCGCGATTTTGTCCGCGTAGGATAATGACTTGTGGCAGAAATTTGGGCTTTTGAATTAGTCTTTACGCAGGGATATTCTACGATAACGAATGTCGTCAGAATCGATTCAGTACCTAGTTCATTTATCATGATGTTAGATTCAAATTAACTTTAATCCCATTTAGCCGTGATAGCGAAATTACCCAAAATAATGATCTCTCATTTCCTAAAATTTCGTTATTAACACCAATCCACAATCTAGAATTCTAGACCATCCTTCGACCACACGACACAATTGAATATTAGGTTGAAATAATTTTAAGAGACATACTCAAATTATAAGGTAAATTGTTAATGAGTCACAGCGGGCCTAAATTAGTTACCTGTAATTAAATACACGTTTGTATTGCACGCCCATTGACATAGATATTCGGGTTGGAAGCCATGCAATATAAATGTGACCCATAAGACGATATATCGATGGTATCGATATTTCATAGACATATAAGGTGTGGTATTTAACCTTTTGAGCGCCAGGGTCACAAATACGTGACAAGCGAAAACTGTCCCTGAGCGCCAACGACACAAATATGTGACAAAAACAGCGGTACATTAAAACACGAAATAAACTATTTAAACATTACTTTAATGCCTATTTATTTATATACCTGTAAAATAGAAGGTCCAAAATTTATTTATTTCCATAAAACTAATTAAATTGCATTATAAATATTGAGAAATTTTACGTTAAAAAGAAAGAAATAAACTCTGAAAAAAGAATGTCCTCACACGCCAGAGTCATAACTGCGTGACCGCTAGTGATGTAGCGCATGTTGGATAATATCATTATTTCAAATCAAAGATCGATTCGAAACTTTCCTCTGGAATATATTATTTTAGGTATAATTTGGTACTAGGATAAAGCAGCATTAATTTTATAAAACCAGTCTTAAAAATCATTCAATAAGCTACATAGTCAAAAATAAAATTTGGTTGGGTCGAATTTCGATATTCACTAATCCCAACTCAAGCGCATCCCTAACGCAACCCGAATTATCAGTACCCTGTACGCCATGGTCACGACTAGACGACAATATCGTGACGTCACAAGCGCGGCGACCAGAAATTAGTGAAGTGAATGAATAATATTTATGATTAATTTACTTGTGATATCGAGTTCAAGATTTATATTAAGTGACTATTATAATGAGTGGGAATTTAATGACTACGGAAGAACTTCTTCGCATATTAGATGGATTGATGACGAAGAATTTTCGGTCTTATATATATAATCGTTAATTGTTTTAATTTGTTACTTTTTATGCCAGGTTTATAGAACTTAATATTTAAAAACATGTATACATAGTACATACTGTATAACATTTTATTAAAATTTTCTATTTTTTCATAGTTTTTTTTACCTTCTTAACCTATTTCAATCATATATTTTTAAGTACCTGTTACATTCGGAATTATAAATCTGATTTAAAAAACGTGTTTCATTTATTATAAAATAATATTGTACTAGAACATCGATAAACGAGATATTACGTTGCCACATCCTTATTTCGGAAGCGAAGTAGTTATTAAAATGGCGGGCCGTCCACGCCATGGTCACAATATGAAGACAGCAGATCAAGAATAGTGTTGTACCTACAGTTATTATATTTAAATATATTGTAGTCTCATATCTGTTATTACGGTATTATACAAGTCTGTAAATAGTGTATAACTATTACTTTAATAGGAAGAAATGTAATGTTGAATTAAATTTCAATGTTATAAGGACATTATATTTCGAAATTAAAGACGAAAATGAAAATAAAATTGATTATCGATGAAGTTTTGGAATCCCTATTTTTTTCGTAGGTATTTGCGGTGAATTTGTGGCCTGGCGTTGAGGGCAAGTTCATGCGTTTTTGCTCTGGCGTTCAAAAGGTTAAGTGTGGGAGAGCCATGCTTCGGCACGAATGGGCCGGCTTGACCGGAGTGGTACTACGGTCTCATAGAAAGCCGACGTGAAACAACACTTGCGTTGTATTTCGTCGTGTGAGTGAGGTTAACTGAGGCCTAATTACTCCCTCCCACATTGTCGAATCCAACAATCCTCAAATTCTTAATCCCCTAAAGGCCGGCAACGCACTTGTAACGTCGTCCCTTGTCATCCTTGTGTTTCGGGTGTCCATAGGCGACGCCGATTTGTTTATCATCATCCGTCCGGTAATTAATAAAAGATTTGAAAATATAGAGATGTTTATTGTAAACGTGGACATGTGGACTGACCAGTCTGATGGTCTGTTAATAGTGAAATTTATAGAAGAAATAAGAGTTCTATAATAGGAAGGTGGTGAGCTAATCTCTTGTCTATACGTACATGAGACATAATAAAAAACACATTGTGTTTCGAGTAGTTCTGAGCTCCGGCTATAGCTTAAAGGGACTTCTTAATTAAAAGAGACGGGCCAATAGCGGTCTCAAATAAAACTGAACCTTTTAAACTGAGATCTCTAAACCTTCCAAGTAAAAATAATTTTATGGCAAAACATGCTAATGATATTGATGCTTCGTGAAGGTCGTAGACGGTTACATTTCCGATTGATTTCTAAAAGCCCTTCCTAAAAGGCTATATGCAGATAAATTTAATAACCGGAGGCCCAATTACCCTCCCCCTCCCCAATCTCCCCAATTCCTGAATCCCCAACGATCCTCAAACTCCTATCCCCAAAAGGCCGGTAACGCACTTTTAACGCCTCTGGTGTTCCAGAAGAAGTAATAAAATTTAAAAGTAGTAACATACCTATGACAAACATGATTAACTGCCGATTTCGATAACCAACCTCAATCCAAAATCTGTGGATTAAGATCGATTTTTGACCAGATCACCACGGATCAATAGGGCTGATGCCGATACGGAGTCGCGGAGGACTTAACAGGTTGCCCGGGCTCCGGCTCGGAGGGCAGGAGTAGGAACGGGGTGGTTTTTAGTCAGTAAGAGTCTAACACACCCACCCGTCTCACCCGGGCGGGAGAAGTCATTCGATGATTTTCTCCCCTTAAAACAAAATCGATTTACAGCTTATGTCAAAAATCGAACCATTGTCATTTGTTAGGACTATCAATTTTATTATTGGCAGTCTTCCACAAAACACACATTATATACAGGGCACGCCATAACTCATTGTTCACTATTGTTACAAAAAATTCATAAACGCTTCAAGGAAACTGGCTACGTGGTGTTTCTAGCCTTTTTATTTATTAAATACTTGATTAGTACCTTCAGCTAGTTATGAACCTACATTTTACACTTTACAAGGCTGCTGTCAAATGCAGCACACCGCACTTTTATTAATCTTTTGTTTTATTGGTAATATTGGAAAACATGGCGGCTGTTGGAAGAACTGAAGTGATAAATAATTCTTAACTGGAACTATGAAATGGGGGATTCGGTTCGATGTTATTTATTAGCTTGTCGTGTTTAAGAAGACTGGGTTTAAAGACTGCTATTAGTTTTTCGTTTAAACTAAACGTTTCATAGAGTCTGTTTGTAAAATCCTACGGAGATTTATTTTGTATACCCATGTACCTACATATATGAAAACCCCATCTTTAGACGATATTTTATCATCACTCTTATATCCCCAAGCGGTCACCGGTGACCGCTCTCCACTAACTACTTTATAGACCTTATTTCCAATGTTTAGAGACTACTTTTGTATGAACAAATTTAGGGATGTTTTTTAACAATTTTCAACACGTTAATAGTAAGTTTTATAGCTACTAATTATACGCGTTGTCAAAGCTATAGAAGCACAACTAATTCAAATCAACAAATTCAAAAATATCGACCACATTTCTTCGAATGAAAGCAAAATAAATGACCAATCAAATAGGTTTGCAACAAAAACTATTCTATCTACGTCCAATTTCCCTGGAAATCAATTGCAAACCGCATTCTTAATGCTTTGCAAATAAAACCGACTTTTCAAACATTGGAACATGCACGCCCTATATTAAGGGGAGACAGGCATCATAGTACTACAATATCTGTATGGACAACTATACATATAGCTATTTTTTTAAGGAGGGTAAATCATCGAATTACTGCTCCCGCCTGGGTGAGGCGAGAGGGAGTATCAGACTCTTACTGACTAAAAGCCACCTCGTTCCTTCTCCTGCACGTTGAGCCGGAGCCCCGGTAACCCGTTAGGTTCTCCGCGACATACCTACATATAGCTATTGCATAGTGTATTTTGCCCGTGTAGTATTTAGAAGATGTTCGCGGATTATTCAGGATTAAACCGTCAAATAGGTATCTACAATGCCCCGTAGGAATATTGGGATAAAAAGTAACTTATCTTCTTTAAAAATAAGTCATTTAGTGGTAAAAGATTTTTGCAAATCAGTTTTATATCTTTCATGTACAGTATCATTGATGTTTGTATTGTAACTTTCGTGAGACATACTAAATAAATTATTACGTTGTCGGCTTATTCACGTAGTAATTTAGGTTCATATAGCCTAGCTAGCATGCTGCTACTGTAGCAGCGCGACAGTCGCCGCGTCGCGGTTCGCGAAATGCTGCTCATGAATATGAGCCTCTAGCATGGCTTGAAACTAGTCGAGTTCCTCGTCAAATTATTACGTAAGTAAGCCGAAAACATA